TATACAAGCCCATTGTGCCAGACATTGTCAAACGCTTTCTCAACGTCTAACAATGCCATGGCTGTGGACTTGGATACAGCCTTGTTACTTCGGATGTTATTCATCTTCCGTACTAGCTGATGATTTGTGGAGTGCCCCTTCCTAAACCCGAACTGTTCCGGTAGGAGAATGTTTTACTCCTCGACAAACTTGAGCAAACGATTGAGAATAAATTTCTCGAACAATTTGCTCAGCGCTGAAAGGAGACTGATTGGTCTGTAGCTTGAAGCTAGCGTTGGGTCCTTCCCGGGTTTGCGGATAGGTATGATTTTCGCTGTCTTCCAGATACTTGAAAATTAGTGCAGTTCCAAGCATCTGTTGAAGACAGCAGCCAGCAGAGAGTGAACCTTCATGCTGAGATTTTTCAACACTAGGTTGAATATTCCGTCAAACCCGGGGGCCTTCATGTTTTTGGTGCATTTCAGCGCTGAGCAAATCTGTTCCACAGTGATTCTATCCTCCGGAGGGATGGCACAAGGGGAGGAATCAAGGTTGAGTACGCATTGCTCAACCTGAACTCGTCGGACGCACGCCTCGTCAGCCACGGTTATGGCTTGGTGGAATCCTTCCAACGCTCGGTCGATGTCCTCCACGTTGTCAAGCGGCGGGTTGTCGATGATGTGCCTGTCTACCACGCGTCCAAACTGGGCCCAGTTTACGCGATGGTAGTCCTTGCGCAGGCTTGAAGCAGGAGCCACGTTGCAGCCCAGTTCAGCCACCACCGGTTGGTGGTCGGAGCTGAGTTCGTTCAATGCTACCGGCTTGGACAAGCCGATATTTGTCAGGAACAGGTCTAGCGTCGATGGGTTGCCCGCCGGTGAGATAAATGTTGGGTCATCCGAAAACCAAACGGAGTACAGCCCATGCTCTGAGTGGTCGAACAGCAGACGACCGTTCTGGTTCTGCTGGTAGTTCCGCCAGGCCTCATGGCGAGCGTTTAGATCTCCTCCTATTACGAAGCGGGAACCGTTACGGGTGATGGTAGACTGGTCCTTCTTGAATTTAGCCGCTAGTCGACTGCTGGCGGCACACTGTCGAGGGAAGTAGACGGTGATGAACTGGACGTATCCAGTTGACGACCCCACCTCCACACCAAGGGCCTCGATGATAGAGGTGTGGAGATGGGACAGAGTGTGGTATTTTATTCCTTTCTTGACGACGACCGCAACACCACCCCCCCCTGGAGCTGGTGCGATCAAGCCGAATAATGTTGTGGTCAGGCAACCAGAAGCTGTCGCCGGACTATAGATGGGTCTTGGTTAGAAGGCCCACGTCGATGCTGTGCTTGCGGAGGAAGTCGGCAAGCTCAATCTCTTTTGCTCTTACAGAGCAGGCATTCCAGGTGACGATAGTTAGCGGTTTAGACGCCATACTGGATGATGAACTTACCGAGCACTTGGATCTGTTCGGGCTTATTGCGGCACTTACGAAGAGCACCGGACATGTTGGCGAAAATTTCCATCAGTTCGTCCGCTGAGAACCGATCGGGGTTTTTGTTTTGCGCTGTTGGTTGTCTCCAGAATCCAGGGGGGGGGGGGATGGAGAGCTTTGGCCAGCAGAATCACCGGAAGCTTCTTGAGGGGGGGCGGGTTGCACCCGCGAATTCGCTTGCCTTTGCTGGGGAGCACGAAGAGGCGGAAAATCCTCTGTCCTGAATGCTGGGGTTTTGTCCTTCTTGTGTCCTGGTTGATTGTTGCTTGACGCCTGCTTTCGGATGCGTTTGAAGTCCTCGCGTTTGGAGCACTGTCTGTCGGAACCTTGATGTGCACCACATCAGTTAGCGCATTTTATCGCCACGGCTCCATCCGCAGGGCAGTTGTAAGTGGCGTGTTCTTGAGCGCAGTTGCTGCAGCGTGGCTTGATGTTGCAGTTGCGGGTACCGTGTCCAAAATTGAGGCACCTCTGACACTGCGTTACGTCACGATGGCCGCCACGGTATGGCTCCCACCGTACGATAATGGAGTTGAGAATCCGGGTACGTCTTCACGTTTTCGTCTCTCCTTGTCATTCGGAAGACAGCGATTGGGGCTAGCTTGTACCGGTTGATTTCAGCTTCGACCATCTTGGGGTCGAAGTTTGGTAGACCCCTGATGACTACCTTGAACGGCTTCTCACCGGGGATGTCGTGCGTGAAGAATTCCGCCTTGGTATCCTTCAGATATTTCACGGCCACTTCGTACTCCGCTTTCGCTCGGAGCATCACCTTGGTGCCGATCCTGCCGAGCTTAAACTCAGCTGCAACGCCCAGCGATGAAAGATCGCCAATCAGCGTGTTGAGTGGGACTTGCTTCACCTCCAGTGGAGGAAGCTTCATTTTTGCTGCACTCGGGCTGGCAGCAGTTTCGTTGTCGACGGCGTCGCCGAAATCACCAATGACGCTGACGTTCGTCGCGGTGGCATCGTCCCGTCCACTCGCACCATCGGACTGGCCTTGATTTTTCTTACTCTTCTTTAACCGCTTCACCGTGGCTGAGGTGGTATTCCCTACATCGGTGGGAAGAGTAGCGTACTTTTTCGAAATAGGTACACTCAAGCTACCCTCACCGCTGTTCTTCTTCTCCGTTTTCTCTCGGAGCCTGCTCCGGGAGCGCTGTCTTCCCATCACACGAAGCGACCGACACTACTGACGACGCGATTAAACTGCGAATGTTTGGAACAAACTGGAAACTTTAGAACAACTCGACAGAGCGAGCAAAGACCGAACTGTACTGCTTGACGTTCAAGCAGAGAATGATGATTTGTGGATGTCGCTAAGTCGGTGGCCTCTCGTTAAGTAAGTACTACATCAACATTTCCTTCCCTATCCTTAGTTATGGTAAAGATGGGCGTGGCCGGGAATAGCGACAGTCATGCTTCTGTTACTCTTGTTTAGATTGGAACCAATGTTTACTCCCCAGCATTATACCTGAAAGTAGTCTAACTGAGAATTTCAGAAGAGACGTGAGTGTCGTTAGTATCCAATCTACGAAGCATGTCATAACAACGCTAACGCTAACAGCTGGATACAACTTCTCATGCAGAAGACTTTCGAGAACATTGGCCAAGCAGTTCAGGATCGAGATAGGTCGGTAATTTTCCACTTTGTGCATGTTACCGGACTTGAAGATTGGTGTAATTGAGGCGAGCTTCCCGGCATTCGGAAAAACGCCATCCTTAAGCGATCGATTGAAAATAGACATAACGGGAGTGGCCAACGATGCTGCACAGTTCTTGACGAAAGACGGTGGAATACGGTCCGGGCCTGGACCTTTCGATTGATCGACTGTGCTAAGGGCTTTGAGAATAGCGTCTTGACTGAAGATGAGCTGCTGCAGGTGAATGTCATATCTTGGTAACTGATCAATGTATTGCTGCGGTGGAGGAGTTTCATCGGGTTCGAAAACACGTCGGAAAAAGTCAAGACTAGATTTGTGCTCTGAGAGTCACATATACGAGCGTCAATTTCGACTTAAATTTGAGTCATAACAGACGTGAAATATAGCTCAATCAAACGTACTTTTCGTCGAGCAACGAACTTTTCAGTCTCGGAGCACTTAATATTACATGAGATGTTTGTTTACGTCTCATCTTTTATGTCAAAGATCGATTCCGTCACGTGTAAAATTAGTTATTTCTAAGTATGCAGGACGGAAGAAGGACAACACCCCGGCATTCAGGACGGAGGATTTCTCGCCTCTTCGTGCTCAGCAAAGACAAATGAAATTCCTGGGTGGAACCAGCCAAGAAGCTTCCGGTGATTCTGCTGGACAAAGCTCTCCACCCCCTGGATTCTGGAGACAACCAACAGCGCCATACAACAACCCCGATCTATTATCAGCAGGTGAACTGATGGAAATTTTATTCAACATGACCGGTGCTCTTCGTAAGTGCCGCAATAAGCCCGAGCAGATCCAAGTATTCGGTAAGTTTATCATCCAGTATGGCGTCTAAACCGCTAACTATCTTAACTTGGAATGCTTGCTCTGGAATCAAGTTCTGCGTTCTGCCTCACATCCGCACTTCTTTCATCGAGGCTCTTAGTGTGGACGTGGAATCGCCAACTGGAAATCGGTTTATCGCTGTTTACTGCCCTCGGCTGTGTGCCATCCAGTTTCATTAAGGCTAATATTGTTGACCAAGTGATTGTTTTAGCAATTTAACAACACAAACAGATACTCTTTTGTAATGACTTAATGTTGGTCAATTTATTGTCCTATATCAGGTATTGTGTCATAGATACTTTGACCCTCTCGTTAATTTAGGATCGTTTCTAAAGAGTCATAATTTAATTATAATGGATCAAAGGCTGTAACTAGAAAGTTTCTATCGTTCCAACGGTTGGTAAGTCATAAATTAAAGAGAATTTGTCATCTACCGGTCACTAATAGATTGAATCGATTAGCAAACAATTACAATCGCTACAAAATATATGACCAACTCGTTGTTAGGATTTTCTAATAGTAGACATGGATCAGCTTGAAAGAGAACTTGACCTCCTTACATTCTGGAACGGATATGAGCAATTGCTAAGCGATGTCTGTAAGTGCGAAGAGATTTGAATTAAGATACATCATGCTTACAGTTTGCCAATTGCAGTAACTACCTACATCACTGGAATCTGTACAATCTGCATCGTATCCGGAAAGCTCGGTAACATCTCCGAAGGTATGAAAGCATTTTCTCTGATTCCATATTTGTCGATACAGTTGGATGACCACGATGAGAAGTTCAATTGGTCGTTAAATCCCCTGTTAGTGGGAATTGAATCCGGGTGCAGTGCCTTCATTTTGCATCAAAGCGCGACGTTGGATTTCTTGGATGTTTTCGTGGAATTGCACGACGAAGCTGGCTACAGGAATTCTAACAAATTTGTCCTTGTGCTTGTGGATGGTGTTCTATCCGAAGATTTCCTCGGCGCCGTGCGAGAGCATCCTAGTCTGACAGAAATCTTGAATTTGTTAATTTTTCGACCAATGTTTGAGATGGCTACGGTTGATTTGCTGACCAATCGCTTTGTTGGTAGTGTGGAGCATGCTTCTGAGTTGTACCTTCTTGATCGCTACCGCGTCGGAGACGGTTTGTTCGAATACGGGAACTGGCTGTTTCCCGATAAAACGATCGATTTGTATGGAAAGTCGATCCGAGTGGCAACTTTCTACATCAATCCACACATGTTGATAAAAGAGGCTGATGTCACGGCTCCAGAGATACGCTCAAAGAATCGAACTTTCTCAATGGATGGCCTTAACGGTCTTATTCTGGTGGAGTTTTGCAGGCAGCGTAACTGTACGATTGAGTTGGTTATTGGTAGGCTTCTTTCATGTTTAATAGCTAGTTAACTGCTTACTTCACATCTTTTATCATAGACGAGGTCAATATGTGGGGCGTGATCCTACCGAATAGAACCGGAAATGGTATAATTGGGGACGTGGCAGAAAGACGAGCTGATCTCGGAATTGGTGCTTTGAGCAGCTGGTACAATTGTTACCAGTATTTGACCTTCTCTACGCCTATTACGCGAGGAAGTGTCACTTGCCTTGTACCGAAGCCCAAGTAAGTTTAGTTGATTCTAATAGCGAATTCGTTTGTTGTTCAGTTCCAACCTGGATCGGGTATCAAGATTGGGTCTGCTTGTTTTCTGACAAACGTCAGTTTGCTCGTTTGTTTATAAAACCTAGCTCAGGTTGAGGTTCACACTGACAAAAAGTTCGGTTTTTCACTGGGTTGGAACTGGTGTTAACCCCGATAATAAACGAATTCGCTATAACACTCAACCGATCTTTAACCGTTACGATTTTAAGCCTCATCCCTGGGTGGAAATTAATCACAATGGTATTCGCCACATCCGTCTACCTGTTCATCTTTGGCACTTTCTGTGCCATCGTGTTGGTCTACATGCTGATAGCCCACTTTATGATACGCAAAATCGAGCAAAAAAGTGTCTTGTGGAATGCATTCAATGTGCTAGCGATTTTCCTCTTGCAATCAGCAAACATTCGCAATCGATCCGCATCGGAAGCCATATTAACCGTGACAGTGTTGCTGTATGTCATGAACATGGATGGCATCTATTCAGGAAAGTATGCTAGCCTACGGACGATACCTATTTATGAACCTGCCATCAATACGTTGAATGATTTAGCCTCAAGTGGAATCCCTTGGCTGCAGACCCACAAGGCATGGTCTTTCTCCTTGCTTCTATCGAAAAATGTATGCAACATCATATTTAGAAGAACATCCAAATAATTCAACAAACCTCTATTACAGCCCATGATAGTGAAGTTAGTCACCAACTTTCGAGCTTACCCTCCATCAGAGCTCCGTCGAATTGCCGATCAAGGAGGAGCTGCTTTTGCATTGTCGCACCTAAACATTGGCCACCTGATGCTAGGTGAGTGGATCACGGCGAACAATATCCACAAGTACCGGCTGATGAGGGAGGAATTGTTCCACGAACATGAAGTAGCGATGGGCACCAAAACATGGCCACTGATGGAACGGTTCAATGAAGTAATAAGTCGAACGGGTAGCGGACTGCTGATGCATGCTCAGAGGCTTCGGATCGTCTTTCAGTACGATGACTACTTCGTTCATACGGTGGCGTTGAATTCCCATGACCGAGAGGTAAATGATCCCACGGCGCTAAGACTGGATGATATTCTGGGAGGGTTGATCGTTCTTGGGTTCGGATTACTGTGCGCGGGAGCTGTTTTCATGATGGAAGTTATGTTTGTGAGAAGATCAAGAAGATCGATCTAGATGAAAGGCTATAGTTGAAAGGAAATGGGTTAGGCAGAATGGTTTGACTCTGAAATGTTCTAATCAGAGGCGCATCCACGTTCAGATATATGGGTAGGGCAAATTTTTTTTTTTTTATCTAGTTCGTTTATTTGGAAGGCTCAATCGCGTTAGCTTTACGGAGCCGATAATTCATTGTTCACTGTGTGTAACAAAATTCACTTAATTCTATGTCTAGTAGGAGTTGGGCCGATTACTCGCGGCTTACTCGAGGTTAGTAGGGTACATTTTCGAAGGATAGGATCAGGGGAGGAGCTTGGGGTAGGGTTTCGTTGTCTCATCAGAGCGTTTTCGCCAGTATGAACGGTAGTGCTGTTCTAGCTTCGTCCGGAGTTCGACCGGCTATGGTGGGTGACCAGTGGGCGACGATGAGACTCATCGAGACGGGAGGACAAGACAAACAAAAACTAATAAAGAGAGACAAAAGACAAAAGGAATTAAATTCTTATACTAGACATTTGAAGAAAAACATAAACGGACTGCATATAGCAGAGATCACGGGTTGCCAACACGTCTTTGATAGGAACATAGGGTTGTCTTCCTTGGGCCTCGAGGGTATTCAAAAGTCGCTCTCTGGCGGCGTCATTATCCGTACATTGCCAAACTGCGTGTTCGATGTCATCGTAACCGTTTCCACACCGACAGATGTTGCTGTCCACGAGGTTTATTCTATTGAGATGAGCATCTAGCGAGTAGTGGTTGGACATAAGTCTACTCATCACGCGAATGAAGTCACGACTTAAGCCCAAGCCTTTAAACCACGCTCTCGAAGAAACATTAGGAATAATTGAATGTAACCACCGTCCAAGATTTCCAGTGTCCCAATCGGTTTGCCAACTCGAAAAGATACTCTGACGCACTAAATGGTAAAATTCATCGTGTGAAATTTGCCTGTCATACAATTCGCCTTCCTGCGCGCCCACCTTTGCGAGAGAGTCCGCCTTCTCATTGCCTGGGATTGAGCAATGTGAGGGGACCCATACAAAGGTAATCATATATGATCTTTCGACCAGCACACACATCTGCTCCCTTACTTTTGAAAGGAAATAAGATGAGTGCCTACCTTGTTTCATCGACCGAATAGCCTCAATCGAACTGAGACTATCCGTGAAGATGAAGTAATGGTCTGCGGGCATGTTGGAAATCATCCCCAATGCGAAGTTGATTGCTGCCAGCTCAGCAACAAAAACGGAACAAGGTTCCTGGAGTTTGCGGAAGGCGCTAGAGTTTTCATTGAAGACACCGAAGCCAGTGGATCCACTGAGACGAGACCCATCTGTAAAATATCTTTTCATGCAATTGACTTGTTGGTACTTTTCAGTAAAAATACGCGGAATAATAATAGGTCGAAGTTGATCGGGAATCCCATGAGTTGCTTGTTTCATGGTCAGATCATATTCAATTGAGGAACTGCGATTGGTGAAGTGAACACGGTCTGGAGTATAACAAGGAAGACACATATCTGATGATATGTAGTGGTGGTAGATTCTCATAAATCGAGATTGTGTGTTCAACCCAAGAATTTCTTCAAAATTAGCAATTATAAGTGTGTTCGTCACTCCGCATTTGATTAGTATTCTGAGAGAGAGCTCCCAGAAACGGTTCTGGAGGGGTGTTACTCCTGCCAGAACCTCGAGACTCATGTTATCCCAGGCAACACACAAGTTCTACAACAGTTTATATAACCTTCGTATGACTGGTTTTAGTTGTATAGAAGTTTACTCAACATAATTCCATGAAAATGTGTTGCTTGCAATATACAGCCTAGAGCAATACGCAGACAACGATATTGAATTCGTTCCAATTTTATTAGGTGACTTTTTCTTGCCGAGAGAAAGCAGAAAGAGCCGTACTCTAGAACAGAGAGAATAGTTGTTTTATAAAGCGTTATGAGGTCTCCCGGATGAGCACCCCACCATGTGCCGCAAATTGAACGGAGAAAGTTGATCCTCTGCTGACATTTTTGCTTCAAATACGTAATATGAGCATTCCAAGTGCACTTTGAATCAAACCAGACCCCAAGGTACTTGAAAGACAATGATTGGGTAATGTTTCTGCCCAAAAGATTAAGCTGCATTTGGGCTGGGTACCGCTTTCGAGTAAACACTACCAGTTCAGTTTTCTGCGGCGAGAATTCGATCCCTAGATTCATAGCCCAAGAAGACAAGTTATCTAAGGAATTTTGCAATGGTCCTTGCAAGTCCACGGCATGTGGACCTCTTACGGAAACCACACCGTCATCTGCAAGTTGTCTTAGCGTGCATTGTTCTGCCAAACAGTTGTCGATATCTTTGACGTAAAAGTTATAAAGAAGAGGGCTGAGACATGAGCCTTGGGGCAGGCCCATGTAGCTAATTCTGGAAGTTGTCAGTTGTCCAAGGGAAAAGTTCATTTGCTTTTCTGACAACAAATTGTACAAGAAATTATTTAAAATTCCAGAAAGTCCACATCTGTGCAGATTGTCTGACAGAATTTCAATGGAAACTGAATCAAAAGCCCCCTTAATGTCCAAGAATACTGAAGCCAATTGCTCCTTGTGTGCAAAGGCCAGTTGAATATCTGTGGAAAGCAGCGCTAGACAATCGTTTGTTCCTTTGCTCTTGCGGAACCCAAACTGTGTATTTGATAGCAAGTTATTTGATTCGACCCAGTGATCGAGTCTCCGAAGGATCATTTTCTCCAACAATTTCCTAATGCACGAAAGCATAGCAATCGGACGGTATGAGTTATGGTCAGACGCTGATTTGCCAGGTTTTTTAATGGCTATTACTTTGACCTGTCTCCATTCAGGCGGTACAATGTTGTTTTCTAGCAAGGAATTGAATAAATCTAGCAAGCGTCTTTTAGCGATATCTGGGAGATTTTTCAGAAGATTGAATTTAATCATATCGCTTCCCGGTGAGGAGTTGTTCGATGAAAGAAGAGCCATAGAGAAATCCAGCATTGAGAATGGTCTATCCAGAGAGCCGCCGCTAGGAGACGCTTCTCGAAGAATATTTTGTGCTGGAACTGAGTCCGGACAGACCTTTTTAGCGAAATCGAATATCCATCGGTTGGAGTATTCTTCACTCTCATTGAAAGATGAGCGGTTACGCATGTTGCGAGCCACCCTCCACAAGGTGTTCATTGAGGTTTCTCGTGAGAGTCCCTCGACGAAATTGCGCCAATAACCGCGTTTTTTTGCTTTGATTAATTGTTTCAGCTTTGTCTCAAGCTTTGAATATTCCTCGAAGTAAGTGGAGGTTTTGTGTCTACGAAAAGCTTTGAAAGCATCAGATTTTTCTACATACAATTTTGTGCATTCTTCGTCCCAACCAGGTGTGGCTGGTCTCCTTTTAAAGGGTGCACTTGGAACTTTTCTTTTTTGTGCTTCCAGTGAGCTTTTGTAAATCAAATCGGCTAGGAATCGATATTCTTCCAATGGTGGAAGCGCATCTATTGATTCGACACCGATTGTCACCGCCGTTGCATATTTCTGCCAGTCGATGTTCCTTGTAAGATCAAATGGAACCCGAGATGGTTCTGCAGAGTGAGGGCCACACTTTATTGAAATGATGATTGGCAAATGATCGCTACCATGGGGATCATTGATAACCTTCCACTGACAGTCCAATGATAGCGATCTTGAACACAAAGATAGGTCGAGTCGGCTTTCTCGAGCCGGAGGTTTTGCTATACGTGTCGCTTCACCAGTGTTCAAAATAGTCAAATTGAAATCGTCACATAAATCGTAAAAAATAGCCGCTCTATTGTCGTCATATAGATCGCCCCACCCAGTACCATGGGAGTTCATATCACCCAGAATTAATACTGGGGATGGAAGAATCGAAACTAGATTCCAGAGTTGACTACGGCTAATGGAGGTTCTTGGTGGAACGTATACTGAAGCTATGCAAAGATCTTTGTTCTTCACATTTATTTGGCAAGCGACGATTTCGACGCCTGATAGAGCAGGAAGGGAAATTTTGTAGAAAGGGTAGCACTTTTTGATCCCTAAAAGTACTCCTCCATAAGAATCGTCTCTATCCAGGCGAATAATGTTAAAATCGTGGAAGTTGAGTTCTTTATCGGAAGAAAGCCATGTTTCACAGAGAGCAAATATATCACAATCAGAATTGTGAAGTAAAAATTTGAACGAGTCTAGTTTAGGCACTAGACTACGGCAGTTCCACTGTAGCACAGTGATCATATCTTCAACCTCGTTCGACGAATTATCCATCGAAAGATATGATTGATGCAAGGAGGGGCCATGAAACAGTCAATTGCTTAAGATATGATTCTAATGTTGGAAGCAAGGCAGAAACTAAGCTTCTAAGAGGGTCTTGTATGTTGAACATATTTATTATGAATTCCACAATGTCCGAAAAAGCTAGCAAACCACGTTCGGACTTGGATTTCTTTTGAGAAGTTTGAGGAGCAGCTTTTTTGTTTTTCTTTTCTTTGTTGGGTAATGGCGGAAAATCCTTACTGCAGCCAGGAAGTGGAGCAGTAGGAGCCTTCGATTTAATTTTTTCAGCCCCATTACCCTGGGAATTTTGCAATCCTCTGCGAGTGACTTTAGTTTTCTTACGGCGCACTTTCGGGGGGAGCATTTTCGTTTTGAGGATCCGTTCGTTTTCAAAGGTGCGTGTACCACCGTAGAGTCACCCTCATCGGATGAGTCAGAGTCCGATTCTTCAACTGACAAAACCGAAAATTGGTTTGCATCTTGGACGGCTGATGCAGCCTTCAACATTTGAGCATATGTCTGCTTGGAGCGTCCAGAGATTGAACGCTGCACTTTATCGGAGTGCTGCTTGTACATCGGGCACTCCTGCAAGGGGTGAGGATTCTCGCCACAATAAGCGCATTTTACTGATTCTTTGTGGCAAGAATCCTCTTTGTGGTTTTCACCACATTTGCCACAACGAGTTTTGTTGCCGCAATGGCTGGCCGAGTGTCCCAGCCTTTTGCAGTTGGTA